CAGCTAAAACAACTAAAGCGTCATTGCTCTCTTCATCTCAAACATAGCGGGTCTTATTTGTTTGTTCCATACCTTACCTTTCTATCTTTATCTCTTATCTGCCATACACATTCAGCAACTAACGAAACAAAGTTGTCGTAGGTCTTAAATTCTTCAGATTTATATATGTCAGAAACATTCTTATACCATGTCGCAATCTTTGTCCATAACCTTATGATTGCAATGAAATCCTAGAAACTCATAGTTTACCTTTCGTATGAACTTCTTTATTTCTACTGAGTCAGTTGGTTTCACTTCTATTTCATCGAATTCAGGAATAGTGAGCTTTTGTTGTTGGATTTCAGGCAATTTGGGTAAATGGTCGATGAGGTCCTGCATTTCATAAAGATACTGTTCATTTGTTTCATCTTTCGCACTACAGTCTAAATTACATGGTAAAAGTTCTTGCTTTATCTTCTGGATTTCTGTTTCAAAAGTATATGAAGAAGGAATGAAGCTTTTCATCTCTACTAACATAGATGTTGGATTCATGACTAAAGAGTTTGGTGCTGTTGTTTGAATTGTTGTTGTGCCGATTGTTGACATTTTTTATTTTTTATACAAAATAAAAAATAAAAAAAATAAAACTAACTTTATTTTTTATTTCGGAAAATTCATGAAAATTCAAGAGGTGAAAAAAGAGGTGAAAAAACAGGTGAGATCTCACCTCTTCACCTAAACATTATTTTTGGTCATTTACACTCATTACGAAGAAGTCTTGACAAAACATTTACGTTCATGTTTGACAAAATTTACGATGAAATCATGACAAAACATTTACGAAGAAGTCTTGACAAAACATGTACGTTCATTACGATGAAGTTTTGACAAAACATTTACGAAGAAGTTTTGACAAAACATTTACGATGAAGTCTTGACAAAACATTTACGAAGAAGTCTTGACAAAGCATGTACGCTCATGTTTGACAAACATTTACGAAGAAGTCTTGACAAAACATGTACGTTCATGTTTGACAAAACATTTACGAAGAAGTCTTGACAAAGCATGTACGATGAAGTCTTGACAAAACATTTACGCTCATTACGATGAAGAAGTCATGAAAATTCAAGAGGGTAGAAAACAGGTGAGAAAACAGGTTAGATCTAACCATCTACCCTAAACATTATTTTTGCTGAATTCAGCAACAAAATGAACGAGGTCAGGATGTATGTAAATACATTTGAATTCATTCATAACACCCTTAGTAAGCTCATAAAATGCTTGTTTTGAGGTCGAGCCACTTTTGGCTCCACCGTATTCTTTCAACCAAAACTCAAGAATTTCTCTGCATGAATTTTGTATAAAAAGCAACCGTCGAATTCAGACTGTTGCTATATTCTTCCACAAAACATTTACGCTCATTACGATGAAGAAGTCTTGACAAAACATGTACGATGAAGTCATGACAAAACATATACGAAGAAGTCTTGACAAAACATTTACGATGAAATCATGACAAAACATTTACCCGACATTCTCGTCAATACAAAAAAAATGACACTTTTTCATTAGATAACTGTTATTTTTTGACGAAGTGAAGATTGACACACTTCGTCAAAAAAATCCTGAAATCATATCTTTACATACAAAAAATACAAAAAAAATGACACTTTTTCATTAGATAACTGTTATTTTTTGACGAAGTGAAGATTGACACTTCGTCAAAAAAATCCTGAAATCATATCTTTACATACAAAATAAAAAAAATAAAACTAACTTTATTTTTTTGTCTTAAGGAAATTCATGACAAATTCAAGAGGTGAAAAAAAGGTGAAAAAACAGGTGAGATCTCACCTCTTCACTAAATTATATTTTTGGGTCGGGAACAACTTTCTCTCAATTGGCTGTGGCATAATCTTTGCGTAAACGGTTCAGACCTTCTTCGAACTCTTGGTCTCTCTTCGATTTGGATTGAGATTGGAATTGCTGGGTGGAGCTTGCTGAATCCAGTTTTTTGATTTAGGACGTTGTTATTAAATCAGGGTGGGGAAGTAAGGCATAGCCAGAGGAGGGTAGTTCGGGAAGCCTTGTGGTGGTAGTAACCTTGAAGTGGAAATTGGTAGAAATTTGGTGGAGGTACTTGCTGGAATGAGGTTGCTGAGGAGACTGTTGTGGTTCTTTAGGTTCCTCTGGTTTGGGAATGGACTGGGTTGGTGGGACGTGGGACATTCGTTTGTGTCCTGTCAGAAGGAAGAACTTTTCTGTTGGAAGGAAAAACTTTCCTGTTGGAAGGAAAAATTTTTCTGTCGGAGGAAAAACTTTTTCTGTCGAAGGAAAACTTTTTCTGTGAAGGAAAACTTTTTCTGTTGGAAGAAAAACTTTTTCTGATTCGACAAAAAGTTCTCAATTTTCGAAATTTGAATGGTTTACGACGGACAACTGAAAAATTTTTTCTGTCGGAAGGAAAAATTTTTTCTGTCGAAGGAAAAACTTTTTCTGTCGGATGGAAGGACTCGGAATGCCAGAAGGATTTGACGAGGCAGTTTACCTAATTTAAATAAACGACTGCGTAAAAGACTACTTGCGCAAGGTCATGAAGCCCCAAGGTCAAGTTCACCACTATTTCTGGAAGGGCTGCCTTGAATCTCGAGACTTCGACTGGAATTCCAATTCAAATACCAGAAAACACTCCTTTCGACGACATAAAGCAAGCAAAGAAAGAAGCTCTTGTTAAGTTCCTAAACAAAACGTCCTTGGATACTACTTCCAAACAAGGAGAACCCCCTACCCATATGAAATTGGCAATTCAGTCTCTCCTTCGCTTCTCAGGACAACCATTCTACATAACCTGTGAAGGCGACATCCAACCAGTTCAGTAAACATCTCATTTTAACTTCACTTTTTTATGTTTTTTGTGAAAGTTTTAAAATAAATTGTTTTCATGAGTTTTCTACGATGTTAGAAAAAATGTTATTTTCTAATATCTTCACATTCAATACTTTTTCAGCACTTTTCCGTAGTTATATATGAAAGACAATTCGAGATAAAAGTCATAGTACAATGGAATAATATGTTGCACACCATTTGTTGTGAACCAAACTTGAAAGTCAGAGAAACTGTTACTAGGTGGTTCGTAGAATTTAGAAGCAAAGTCATAAAAGTCCTTACCAATACATAGAAAACTATTGTTGCTTGAACTGAAACTTGCATGACACATAACATTTTGAGGGTCAAACAGTTTCTATAAACTGTCAAATCTGCTGGTGGAAGTATAAATTTAAATGGACCATCTGGTGGTAATGGTTCGTTCTGGTTTAGTAACCGAAGAAATTGTGCCCAAGAACGTTTGTCTACTTTCCAAAATAAAAACTCTGTATCTCTTGGAGGGTTAATTTCAATCTTTTGAAATGAAACGGTGGAGTTCATCTTGTCATATTCTAGTTTCAGATAGTATGTTCCATTTAGTAAAGAGTCGTATTTTTCTTGAAATTCCCAATAATATTTGTTCATTTGAGTTTGAAAGTCATTTAGAGTTTTCTCAAGACTTTCGTCTGAATGAACTGTAAAGATTCTCATTTCGTCAAATTTGTCTATTAGACCATCAGAACCTTTATACTGCCCATGAAAATATACTGGCGAACATAAATGCGTTAGTTCTATTTGAAAACAAAAACTCTTCTAAATCCTATTGCCTTTGCATCTGAAGGACTTTGAAGCCAACGAATTGGATAGTCAACCTGTTACTCGGGATGAAATTTCTTCATCTGAAATAGTCCTACCAGCATTTGTAAAGATATAGTAACTCTAACGTTTTGGTAAGGTTTCAGAATATAACGCAAAAATGAACCCGCAATGTTCTAAATGTAAAGCAGCAATGAGGAAATATAACTACTCCGTCAAAGAGATAGAACGTATGAGAAACGACTATGCAGACTTAAAGAAAGAAGCAGAGAAGCCGGTAGAAAATAAAATGGACATGTTAGCATTTCTGAACAAAAACTATCCAACAGCAGAAGATTTCCTTCTATCTGACGTCAAGAAGAAGTATAAAGAAACCTTCGGCATAGTTAAAACATTCGATGTACTAAAAGAAGAAATAGAGGCTACAAAACTGTTTAGGATTTCAAATATACATCGTACAATTCATGTAAAACGCTTGTGAAAAAAAGAGGTGAGAAAACAGGTGAGATCTCACCTCTTCACCTAAAATATATTTTTGCTGAAAAATGACCAAATTTCATGAATTTCCTTAAGACAGAAAAAATAAAGTTAGTTTTATTTTTATTTATTTTTTTATTTTGTATGTAAGAACAGAAATGACAAACATTGAGTTTGAAACAGTTAGAAAGATAGACAATGACACCAAAGTGGTTAGAATAGGTGATTTAAAACGTAAGATACTCAAAGAAATACAACAAATATTCTTTGTCAGACATTATATCTCCATCTGGAAAGAAACCGAAGGACTGGGTTAGAATTGCTTCTACTCAGAAAATTTTGACAAGAAATCCTGAGCTTATAATATCGGTAAGATTCTATGGAACTACAGCATATCTCATTGACAAAAGTCTTATACCAATAGTTTTGTTATGGTTAGACCCAGTTGTTGGATATAACTTCATAACATATGGTTCATTCGATACGGAACGTTGCAGTGAAGGCTTACTTTACATCGTTCAGAAACCGAAGGACTTCAACACAAAAAGATATAAGATAGGAAGAACATATAATATAACTCTAAGATATGACAGTACAGTCAATAGAGTCAAGGTTGTGTTTGTTAATGATATGAGAGCTGCAGAAACAGAACTACTTGAAAAGTTTGAGAAAATGTATGGTGCTCCCATAAAAGGTAAAGAAACGTTTGAAGTAGATGAGATAGATAAAGCTATAAAATTATTTGACGAAGTTGCTGAAAAATACATGTAAAGCGTTTATTTTTGGTCTTTTGTGAAAGATAGAAAAAATAACGCTAATTTTTTATAAAATTTGACGAAGTGCAAACCTTCACTTTGTGTCATAATGTAAAAATAACGTTTACCATGTAAAACGGTTGTGAAAAAAAGAGGTGAAAAATTAGGTGAAAAAACAGGTGAGATCTCACCTCTTCACCTAAACATTATTTTTGCTGAATTCGGCAACAAAATTCTGAGTAAAATAATTTTTAGGGCATGTGTCAAACCGTTGAGTTTTCACAAAATTCCAAAAATAACGTTTACCATGTGAAACGTTTATGTTAGAAAAAATGTTATTTTCTAATATTCTAATAAAAAACATTATTTTTGAGAAAAAAAATGAAGGTTCTATACGGTTTCTAACCGTTAACAAGCTTGCCTTTTACATTCTGCCTGAGGAAGTCTTTAACAAGCTCGTTAATTTCAATTAGGTAAATTGCCTCGTCGGTAGGTTCGACTTCGACCATTGCTACTGACAGTAGCAGTACTTTTACTGACAGTAGCAGTACTTTTACTGACAGTAGCAGTACTTTTACTGACAGTAGCAGTACTTTTACTGACAGTAGCAGTACTTTTACTGTCAGTAAAAGTACTGCTAATGTCAGTAAAAAGGAAAATTTGAGAGGGTTTTCGACGATAAAGTACTGCTACTGTCAGTAAAAGTACTGCTACTGTCAGTAAAAGTACTGCTACTGTCAGTAAAAGTACTGCTACTGTCAGTAAAAGTACTGCTACTGTCAGTAAAAGTACTGCTACTGTCAGTAAAAGTACTGCTACTGTCAGTAAAAGTACTGCTACTGTCAGTAGCAATGGTCGAAGTCGAACCTACCGACGAGGCAATTTACCTAATTGAAATTAACGAGCTTGTTAAAGACTTCCTCAGGCAGAATGTAAAAGGCAAGCTTGTTAACGGTTAGAAACCGTATAGAACCTTCATTTTTTTTCTCAAAAATAATGTTTATGTTAGAATATTAGAAAATAACATTTTTTCTAACATAAACGTTTCACATGGTAAACGTTATTTTTGGAATTTTGTGAAAACTCAACGGTTTGACACATGCCCTAAAAATTATTTTACTCAGAATTTTGTTGCCGAATTCAGCAAAAATAATGTTTAGGTGAAGAGGTGAGATCTCACCTGTTTTTTCACCTAATTTTTCACCTCTTTTTTTCACAACCGTTTTACATGGTAAACGTTATTTTTACATTATGACACAAAGTGAAGGTTTGCATTCGTCAAATTTTATAAAAAATTAGCGTTATTTTTTCTATCTTTCACAAAAGACCAAAAATAAACGCTTTACATGTATTTTTCAGCAACTTCGTCAAATAATTTTATAGCTTTATCTATCTCATCTACTTCAAACGTTTCTTTACCTTTTATGGGAGCACCATACATTTTCTCAAACTTTTCAAGTAGTTCTGTTTCTGCAGCTCTCATATCATTAACAAACACAACCTTGACTCTATTGACTGTACTGTCATATCTTAGAGTTATATTATATGTTCTTCCTATCTTATATCTTTTTGTGTTGAAGTCCTTCGGTTTCTGAACGATGTAAAGTAAGCCTTCACTGCAACGTTCCGTATCGAATGAACCATATGTTATGAAGTTATATCCAACAACTGGGTCTAACCATAACAAAACTATTGGTATAAGACTTTTGTCAATGAGATATGCTGTAGTTCCATAGAATCTTACCGATATTATAAGCTCAGGATTTCTTGTCAAAATTTTCTGAGTAGAAGCATTCTAACCAGTCCTTCGGTTTTCTTTCCAGATGGAGATATAATGTCTGACAAAGAATATTTGTTGTATTTCTTTGAGTATCTTACGTTTAAATCACCTATTCTAACCACTTTGGTGTCATTGTCTATCTTTCTAACTGTTTCAAACTCAATGTTTGTCATTTCTGTTCTTACATACAAAATAAAAAAATAAATAAAAATAAAACTAACTTTATTTTTTCTGTCTTAAGGAAATTCATGAAATTTGGTCATTTTTCAGCAAAAATATATTTTAGGTGAAGAGGTGAGATCTCACCTGTTTTCTCACCTGTTTTCTCACCTCTTTTTTTCACAAGCGTTTTACATGAATTGTACGATGTATATTTGAAATCCTAAACAGTTTTGTAGCCTCTATTTCTTCTTTTAGTACATCGAATGTTTTAACTATGCCGAAGGTTTCTTTATACTTCTTCTTGACGTCAGATAGAAGGAAATCTTCTGCTGTTGGATAGTTTTTGTTCAGAAATGCTAACATGTCCATTTTATTTTCTACCGGCTTCTCTGCTTCTTTCTTTAAGTCTGCATAGTCGTTTCTCATACGTTCTATCTCTTTGACGGAGTAGTTATATTTCCTCATTGCTGCTTTACATTTAGAACATTGCGGGTTCATTTTTGCGTTATATTCTGAAACCTTACCAGCTAAAACAACTAAAGCGTCAATTGCTCTCTTCATCTCAAACATAGCGGGTCTTATTTGTTTGTTCCATACCTTACCTCTTCTATCTTTATCTCTTATCTGCCATACACATTCAGCAACTAACGAAACAAAGTTGTCGTAGGTCTTAAATTCTTCAGATTTATATATGTCAGAAACATTCTTATATACCATGTCGCAATCTTTGTCCATAACCTTATGATTGCAATGAAATCCTAGAAACTCATAGTTTACCTTTCGTATGAACTTCTTTATTTCTACTGAGTCAGTTGGTTTCACTTCTATTTCATCGAATTCAGGAATAGTGAGCTTTTGTTGTTGGATTTCAGGCAATTTGGGTAAATGGTCGATGAGGTCCTGCATTTCATAAAGATACTGTTCATTTGTTTCATCTTTCGCACTACAGTCTAAATTACATGGTAAAAGTTCTTGCTTTATCTTCTGGATTTCTGTTTCAAAAGTATATGAAGAAGGAATGAAGCTTTTCATCTCTACTAACATAGATGTTGGATTCATGACTAAAGAGTTTGGTGCTGTTGTTTGAATTGTTGTTGTGCCGATTGTTGACATTTTTATTTTTTATACAAAATAAAAAATAAAAAAAAATAAAACTAACTTTATTTTTTATTTCGGGAAAATTCATGAAAATTCAAGAGGTGAAAAAAGAGGTGAAAAAACAGGTGAGATCTCACCTCTTCACCTAAACATTATTTTTGGTCATTTACACTCATTACGAAGAAGTCTTGACAAAACATTTACGTTCATGTTTGACAAAACATTTACGATGAAATCATGACAAAACATTTACGAAGAAGTCTTGACAAAACATGTACGTTCATTACGATGAAGTTTTGACAAAACATTTACGAAGAAGTTTTGACAAAACATTTACGATGAAGTCTTGACAAAACATTTACGAAGAAGTCTTGACAAAGCATGTACGCTCATGTTTGACAAAACATTTACGAAGAAGTCTTGACAAAACATGTACGTTCATGTTTGACAAAACATTTACGAAGAAGTCTTGACAAAGCATGTACGATGAAGTCTTGACAAAACATTTACGCTCATTACGATGAAGAAGTCATGAAAATTCAAGAGGGTAGAAAACAGGTGAGAAAACAGGTTAGATCTAACCATCTACCCTAAACATTATTTTTGCTGAATTCAGCAACAAAATGAACGAGGTCAGGATGTATGTAAATACATTTGAATTCATTCATAACACCCTTAGTAAGCTCATAAAATGCTTGTTTTGAGGTCGAGCCACTTTTGGCTCCACCGTATTCTTTCAACCAAAACTCAAGAATTTCCTGCATGAATTTTGTATAAAAAGCAACCGTCGGAATTCAGACTGTTGCTATATTCTTCACAAAACATTTACGCTCATTACGATGAAGAAGTCTTGACAAAACATGTACGATGAAGTCATGACAAAACATATACGAAGAAGTCTTGACAAAACATTTACGATGAAATCATGACAAAACATTTACCCGACATTCTCGTCAAATACAAAAAAAATGACACTTTTTCATTAGATAACTGTTATTTTTTGACGAAGTGAAGATTGACACTTCGTCAAAAAAATCCCTGAAATCATATCTTTACATACAAAAAAATACAAAAAAAATGACACTTTTTCATTAGATAACTGTTATTTTTTGACGAAGTGAAGATTGACACTTCGTCAAAAAAATCCCTGAAATCATATCTTTACATACAAAATAAAAAAATAAAACTAACTTTATTTTTTCTGTCTTAAGGAAATTCATGACAAATTCAAGAGGGTGAAAAAAGAGGTGAAAAAACAGGTGAGATCTCACCTCTTCACCTAAATTATATTTTTGGGTCCGGGAACAACTTTCTCTCAATTGGAGCTGTGGCATAATCTTTGCGTAAACGGTTCAGACCTTCTTCGAACTCTTGGTCTCTCTTCGATTTGGATTGAGATTGGAATTGCTGGGGTGGAGCTTGCTGGAACATCCAAGGGTTGGGGAAGTAAGGCATAGGCAGAGGAGGGTAGTTCGGGAAGCCTTGTGGTGGGTAGTAACCTTGAAGTGGAAATTGGTAGAAATTTGGTGGAGGTACTTGCTGGAACTGAGGTTGCTGAGGAGACTGTTGTGGTTCTTTAGGTTCCTCTGGTTTGGGAATGGACTGGGTTGGTGGGACGTGGGACATTCGTTTGTGTCCTGTCAGAAGGAAGAACTTTTCCTGTTGGAAGGAAAAACTTTTTCTGTCGGAAGGAAAAATTTTTTCTGTCGGAAGGAAAAATTTTTTCTGTCGGAAGGAAAAACTTTTTCTGTCGGATGGAAGGACTCGGAATGCCAGAAGGATTTGACGAGGCAGTTTACCTAATTTAAATAAACGACTGCGTAAAAGACTACTTGCGCAAGGTCATGAAGCCCCAAGGTCAAGTTCACCACTATTTCTGGAAGGGCTGCCTTGAATCTCGAGACTTCGACTGGAATTCCAATTCAAATACCAGAAAACACTCCTTTCGACGACATAAAGCAAGCAAAGAAAGAAGCTCTTGTTAAGTTCCTAAACAAACGTCCTTGGATACTACTTCCAAACAAGGAGAACCCCCTACCCATATGAAATTGGCAATTCAGTCTCTCCTTCGCTTCTCAGGACAACCATTCTACATAACCTGTGAAGGCGACATCCAACCAGTTCAGTAAACATCTCATTTTAACTTCACTTTTTTATGTTTTTTGTGAAAGTTTTAAAATAAATTGTTTTCATGAGTTTTCTACGATGTTAGAAAAAATGTTATTTTCTAATATCTTCACATTCAATACTTTTTCAGCACTTTTCCGTAGTTATATATGAAAGACAATTCGAGATAAAAGTCATAGTACAATGGAATAATATGTTGCACACCATTTGTTGTGAACCAAACTTGAAAGTCAGAGAAACTGTTACTAGGTGGTTCGTAGAATTTAGAAGCAAAGTCATAAAAGTCCTTACCAATACATAGAAAACTATTGTTGCTTGAACTGAAACTTGCATGACACATAACATTTTGAGGGTCAAACACGTTTCTATAAACTGTCAAATCTGCTGGTGGAAGTATAAATTTAAATGGACCATCTGGTGGTAATGGTTCGTTCTGGTTTAGTAACCGAAGAAATTGTGCCCAAGAACGTTTGTCTACTTTCCAAAATAAAAACTCTGTATCTCTTGGAGGGTTAATTTCAATCTTTTGAAATGAAACGGTGGAGTTCATCTTGTCATATTCTAGTTTCAGATAGTATGTTCCATTTAGTAAAGAGTCGTATTTTTCTTGAAATTCCCAATAATATTTGTTCATTTGAGTTTGAAAGTCATTTAGAGTTTTCTCAAGACTTTCGTCTGAATGAACTGTAAAGATTCTCATTTCGTCAAATTTGTCTATTAGACCATCAGAACCTTTATACTGCCCATGAAAATATACTGCGAACATAAATGCGTTAGTTCTATTTGAAAACAAAACTCTTCTAAATCCTATTGCCTTTGCATCTGAAGGACTTTGAAGCCAACGAATTGGATAGTCAAACCTGTATGTTCGGGATGAAATTTCTTCATCTGAAATAGTCCTACCAGCATTTGTAAAGATATAGTCTAACGGTTTTGTATCTGCTACTTTTGTTCTTTGTTTTTCAACCTGAAGCATTTAATATATGTAAAAATATATTGTTTTAAAATGGTATGCCATTTCATATTTCTCATCTAACAAACAAGTTTCCCAACGGTCTTCTCCAACAAACTCAGCGTACATTTCAAATAAAATAAAAAAATGTCACTTTTTAAAAAATAAATTTTTACTTCATGCAATGTTCACTAACATCGAAAGGCATGTCCATAAGACGTTCTTCTTCTAACCTCTCTAGTCTGTTTGGATAATTTGCACGTGCTGTTTCCAAATCCATTTCGTAGCGAAGACCAGACAATTTGTCATAGACTTTTATGGGTCTTCCCTTCCTATATTTAAAATTCTTCGAAACTCTCCAACCATATCTTTGCAACTCTGCTTTTATTCTAGCAGATTTTCTATCCATTCTATATGGGGGCATTTTTATAAAAATAAAAAAATATTTTTTTCTTTACTTAACATAACCGCCTGCTGCCATAAGTCTTTGACGCCAACCCATACCAGCTAATGAAGGTTGACTTGGTTTAGTTTCCAAACTAAACTTTGGTTTTGGTTTATCTTCAGTTTTTGGTTTTTCTTCTTCTATCGGTTTTTCGTCACTTTTCGGTTCCTCTGACTTTACTTCACTTGCAGGAACAGTTGTGTCGTCAACATCTTCATAAATATCATATGCCATTTGTTTTTGTTTTCCTTTCAACTTTTTGTGTTTGTTGTAAAGTTTAGAATATTTCGACTCTAAGTCAATGAGATGTTCTATAATGAACTGTTGGTCAGTGAAGTAAACTTTTCCATCTGTTGTCTCGAAAGCTCCTTCAGACTTCAATATTTTATTTGTGAGAGTCTGTTTCTTTTTTGAGATACTTGCCGTTCCATTTTTATGAAAAGTGACTTTATAGTTAGGGTTTGTATTTCCAGACCTGGCACTTTCTATTATTGAATTTTTCTCTTCATCTGTAAGTTCTTTGACAGGTTTTGACAATGGTTCTGAACTTTTTGTTTGTGGTGTCAAATCTACCGTTTCAACTTCTTCGGTCATTTCATCTCAGTAAAAAATTTAGTTTGGTTTGTTTTCAACTGGTTGTTGTTGTTTTTAAGTCGGTCTAAAACTTCCTGAGGTATAGGAAGAACTTGACAAACACGTTGTGTAACTGCTGGAAGCCGACAAATCCATCTTGAACCCATTTGTCTCAATGCTGTATTGTTCATTTCATCTCAGTAAAAAAACTTTACATTCCCCACGTTTGAGGCGGTTGAGGTTGGTTATTGTTTACCCATTGTTGTGCATGGTTATATCCTCTGTTAAAGAATCTTTCACCTTGGTCCATATAGTGTCCTGCTTGGTTATAGTAGTCATTTGCTTTGTTATAATAGTTTCCTGCTTGGCTTCCTA